AGGCAAGAGAGCACACAACAAGCAGGCAGAATAAAGGAAGGAAAAGCGGGGGGGGGAGAAAGCACACAGGAACCCAACCCTGGCACGCAGAAGAGCAAACAGCGCAAAGCAGAACAGGCAACAAAGCAAAACACAACAGCGAGACAACTGAAGCAGGATGAATCACGAAACAATGGAGAAAGTGACAAGACAGGAATGTGCCACGGGACCGCAGCAAGCCGTATGGCTGTGATTCTTTAACAAAAAGCAGATTAAGAACAACTGGCACCTTGGCACAACCCCTCTCCCATCTCTGGGTGTGACCCTGGATACTTGGGTAGCTGGGTGCACCTTTCCTCTTTTCCCCCGGTGGGCTCATGGATGCTAAATGCATAGCTTGGGACAACCCTCTTCCTTCTCCTTTCCCATCCTTTTTCATTCCTCCTCTTCCTCGCCCCTTCCGCATACCCTATCCGCACCCTCAGGAGTGTGTTTGTGCTTCCCTTTGCTGCATTTCGGCCTTAAGCCAATTCCCACGCGCACCAAGTCGCAGTACCCCATTTTGCACCGGAAGGCCGGCTCCGATTCAACGCATGCCACAGAGCGTACAGACGGCACTCACCAGTCACTCAGACTGTGCCCCTTCACACAGCTGAGAGTAATTACTTACTTTGAACTGGATCTTTATGATGGTGGTAATGTCGACGCCTCAATGTCTCCCAGGTGAGCGTCCTGACATGGCAAATTCTAAAACGGAATTACGGAGAACCACGGAATTGGACAGCTTGTTCCATAGTTCAAATTGAAATTATGCAGGTACAGAGAGGTGATCAGCCTCCCCTTCCCACCAATGGCAAAAGCTTCGTTGCGTGCAGTATGCCAAAGGTGCAGCACACCCTTGCTGAATGTGTCAAAGTAGACATTGATTTTGATTTGGTAATTCTGGCCCGCATGACGATTAGCGGGTTTCAAACACACACACACACACACTAGACAGAAAATCGATCATTGAAGTGATCCGTTGGGAATATGAGAAAGTGCATTTCCAAGTCAAAATGTACAAAACACACCATGCTCGGACCACTTTTGGAGGTTCAGATGTCGAAAAAGTGTACGCCGTTGTGGCGCGAAGCACATTTCCAAGTCAAAATGTACAAAACACCACATGTTCGCGCCACTTTTGGAAGTTCAAATGTCGAAAAAGCGCACGCCGTTGTGGCGCGAAGCACATTTCGAAGTCAAAATGTTAAAAGCACCAGGGTTTTGGACCACTTTTGGAGGTTCAGATGTCGCTTCCCTTCACTACACTACATTACACTACACTCCACTACACTGCACCCACTACACTACATTACGTTACACAACACTACAACTACAACTACACAACTACACTCCACTACACTCCACTACACTCCACTACACTACACTCCACTACACTAAATCACACTACACTACACTCCACTACACTACACTACACTACATTACACTACACTACACTACACTACCTTCCACTACACTTCACTACATTACACTACACTCCTCTACACTACAACTACAACTACACAACTACAACTACACAACTACACTCCACTACAATACACTCCGCTACACTAAATTACGCTACACTACACAACATTACAATACACCACACTCCACACTCCACTACACTACATTACACTACACTACGCTACCTTCCACTACACTTCACTACATTACACTACACTACACTACACTACAACTACAACTACGATTGCACAACTACACTCCACTACACTACACTACATTACACTACACTACGCTACCTTCCACTACACTTCACTACACTACACTACACCCCACTACACTACATTACACTACACTACATTACACTGAATGACACTGCACCAAAGATAGACAGGTCCACAGATAGACAGATAGATAGATAGACAGATAGATAGATAGATAGATAGGTTGGTAGGTGGGTAGATAGTCAGAGAAAGAGAGAGAAAGAGAGGAGACCTCAAGCACCTTTCGGTCCATCAGTGGATTCGCTCTGCCATCCCTGATTCACAACAACCAATCTCTCCTATAGGTTTCCTATTTTTGAAACTTCCGCGACCGCCTTGTGCGGTACTATTGGTATAATACAATATAATATGATGAGCCTCCAACGAAGTTTTACGTGTCTTCAGACGTGCCTTCGGCAGGGTGGCGTCCTTGGAGATGAGGTGAAGGTGAGGATGAAAAGGGGATGAAGATGAGATGGGAGTGAAAATGAGATGAAAGATTACTTAACCGGGACACGAGGAGGGGAACGCAAAAAAAGAGGGAAAGAGCAAACACCAACACCGACACACCTGGCCCGGAGCGGGCAAACCCTGAAAGGGCAAGGAAAAAGAAAAGCGGAGGCCGAGGGACACGGAACAAGACCAGCGGAGGGGGGGGAGGACGGAAGCGCCTGAACCAACCCAACACAGCGAAACCTACGCCTACCTAGGCACGCACAGGACCCGACCTACCTGGGGAGGGAAGAACGCATGAAATAGGGGACCAAATGGGGGACTAGTTGATGTCGATGAAAGAAAACAACAATTAAAGAAGGGACTCAGTTCACTCCTAAGTAACCGTGCGTTACTCCCAAAATGGGAGCGTGGTCGATCAAGCCACATGGGCATAAACGGCTGTTCAAGTTCAAATGAATTAGATGCACGACATGTAAAACTTCACCAGACAACCGTCAAGAGAAAAAGACCAAACCTGAAGGCATGTACCTACCCGAAGCATTCTTCATGTTGCATGTGGCATCGAAAGCTTGAGCATCGGCGAGAAAAGGAGGTTTTTGGCAGTTCGAAACGGCTTCACGTTCGCAGAGAAGAATTTACCAAGGTTCAGAAGACGACAGGAGCGGCGGGACCTTGCAAATAGGCTGGTAACCATAAGGCCGACTGTTTCGCTTTACTGAGACGAATTACTAAATTAACATGTGTGAATTCGGAAGTCAGGTCGGTCCAGATTCTCCCTAAAAAGGGATGCCTCAAATGGCTCCATGGCACCATGTCGGAGCCACCATGGAAATCACACTAGACAAGAAATGGATCATTGAAGTGATCCGTTGTGAACTGAATCCTCTGACATGCAATTAGTTAGATAGATAGACAGACAGATAGATAGATAGATAGAGGCTATGGTGGCCAGCAGCTGCGACTTAAATGCGCCCAGGTGCACCACCAAAGCCTAGCAGGTACGTTTACACGGGCCCCGGGGAGGTGTCTTCATTGATCACCGAACCCCCCCCGTGACCCAGGTGATCTCCTGCTTTAAAGATATAATATAATAAAATATGATATAATAGGATGAGCCTCCAACGAAGTTTTACGTCTCTTCAGACGTGCCACACACACACTCACTGCATGAAGCAAGTTATGGAGCGCTGTAAAAATGTGGTATTCGACGCCTCGAGGTTTCAATTCCTAGGTCATCATCCTGAAAGAGCAACGGTTCAACAGTTCAGCTGGTCAACTTGATCAAATCAGAATAAAGGATTACGAAGTATGCAAGATGTAAAAAAATCCGGTTCTAAGCTTCGCCGGCTGCTATCGATGCAGGTACACATCAAAGCGTTCTTTGGTGCTTCCCCTATCACATCCCAGCTTCGTTGGACCAGGTTGGATGTGATAGGCCTGGCCCCCCTGCATGTTAATAACATTGAAACATTTTCAGAACTGCATGTGACAAGCAGTGTACACACACATGGCCCCTCAGTGTGAGGGGCAAACCCTCATGCCCCAAAACTATTTTACTAACACCACTCCATCAAAAACCCTACAGTACACAGTTCAGGTAGTCGAAAATACATCAAACCCCACAGATCTGTACTTTTGAACAGCCAGGCGCAGCACACAACAAGCAGGCAGACCAAAGGAAGGAAAAGCGGGGAGGGGAGGAGGAGAAAGCGCACGGAACCCAACCCTGGCAGGCAGAAGAGCAAGAGCACAAAGCAAAACACGCAACAAAGCAAAACCAACCAGCAGCGAGACAGCTGAAGCAGGACAGCAAAGGGAAGGAACAAACACACTCCTGGGGGAGGGTGAGGAAGGGTGGGAAAGGGGGGGAAAAAGCAAGGAGGAATGAAAGAGACGGGAAAAGAAGGGAGGTGGAAGCAGCACCCATGGACCCACCTGGGGGAATGGAAGGCGCACCCAGCTATATTGCTGTATGCAAGGTCGCACAGGAGGAGGGGGGAAAGGGAGGAATCTGAGGCCAGGACCTTGAAGCGTGGGATTAGACCAATTACTTCGCCTTATGGAAACTTCTCCCCTGTGGGTACTTCGCCCATAGGTCTGCTTCGCAGTATTTCTTGCCAATATTTCCGTGTTGAACTTGGAATGTCCACCTAAACATGCAGAACTCTCTTGCGCTCGAAGTGCCAACGGCTTCAAGATGTTGGCGACATCTCTCTTGAATCTCGGGAAAATGCCCGGCCATCACTCTCACCCACGTCGAAACGTAGAGACGGTACAACCGAGTGAGGTTGAGCACCCATGCACACACTGCATGAGGAAAGTTATGGAGCGTTGCAAAGATGTGGTATTCGACGCCTCGAGGTTTCAATTCCTAGGTCATCATCCTGAAAGAGCAACGGTTCAACAGTTCAGCTGGTCAGCTTGATAAAATCAGAAGAAAGGATTACGAAGTATGCAAGATGTAAAAAATCCGGTTCTAAGCTTCGCCGGTTGCTATCGATGCAGGTACACATCAAAGCGTTCTTTGGTGCTTCCCCTATCACATCCCAGCTTCGTTGGACCAGGTTGGATGTGATAGGCCTGGCCCCCCTGCATGTTAATAACATTGAAACATTTTCAAAACTGTATGTGACAAAGAGTGTACACACACGCAGAATATAATTTATAGGCGCAGGGCCGTTTTGATGTTTGCCCTTTCACAACGTGGATGCAAACAGGCAGAAACCTTTTACAGCCACCTGTAAGCTCGCGTGCGTGATCTCCTTGAATGTTTATCTTTCATCTTACGCCTTTTCTCAGGTGCAAAGTGCAGGTGCAACCCTGTACAGCACTTCGACCATCGCTGATCACGTGGATGTCTTTATTTCGCACTCATGGTCCGCTGGGCGTTGGGGAAAATTCTTTGCCCTATGCTTGTGACTTGATTTGACAAGTTTGTTTGTTTTTGCGTATTTATTTTTGTTCAGTCAAATTTGGGTGTTCATTGTACAGTTAAAATTTGTTTCAACCTTAAACAGTTGAACAGCCACCTAGGTTCTTCAACTTGGAATTGGCGATCAAGTGCTCCTTTGCTACGTGGTTCTTACTGGCGGCTGTTTTGGCAGGAATGTTTGGAGTGGCCGGTTTGGGAGGAAGCGCCTATGTGTTTCCGTGCCTCGTGTGCTTGCCTGTGGCTGCTTTCTTTGTCGTTTTCATCTTTGGTCAAAACCTGACTGGCGGGCGCTGGTCTATGTCCTTGTGGGTGGATAAATTATGCATTCACCAAACTGACCTGGAGTTGAAGGCAAAACAGATAGCAGCACTACCGGTCTTCGTAGCTCATGCTTCCCGGATGCTCATTTTATGGGATGAAACCTATTTTGAGCGACTTTGGTGCAATCTGGAGCTCGCAACCTTTGTCCATAACGGCGGTATCGAAAAAGTTGATCTCTTGCCATTGTGGCTAGCACCATGGTTACTCTGCTCCATTCTGTTGGATCTGCTTAGCGCTGGTCTTTTTGAGTTGTTGGAGCATCTTCTTCCCAATTGGAGCATGAGATGGATGCCCCCTATCATGGAAGCGACAGAGTCGGTGCTGGGAAAAAATCCGGCGATTTTGAAGTTTGTGACATTCTTCATCATTTGGATGTTTACTGGCGTTACTTACCTCCTGGTGTCTGTGCCAAGTTTCTTTTCTTTTCGCATGAAGCTTCGAAACCACCAGCTCCTCCTGGACCAGATGTCAGCCTTCGATGTGCGAGCTGCCAAGTGCACATTACTTGCAGACCGCAATGCCATCGAGGAGCACGTCGTCGCATTGTTTGAAGGTAGAAATGTGCCCCTGAAGGAAGGCAGTGGTGTTGATGATGGCGAGGCCAGGTGCTTCACCTGTAGAGGGATGGTTTGACGCTGAAGTCCAGGCAGAAAAGCTAGTCAGACAAGGCTTTTGGTAGAATCGTAAGAATCAAATTCCTCACACTTGAGCCCGATGCAAAGTGCAGCAAGTCCTGTATCTAATGTTTTTCTTGTTTGTTGTCTTAGTGTTTTTCTTTTTTCAGTTTGGTTTCTAGGCCTGTTCCGTGCTGTCAGAACTTTTTTTAGAGGTCCAAGGATGTCGACAACACAGCTGTGGCAGGTCCGCCTGCAGAGATTCAGCTTGGAGGATCGCGATCCTCTCAACTGCTTTAATGAACATGTCAAGGGACCCCTGCGTGCAATGGTGGAATCGCAGATCGGTAATGAGCTGCGCGTGCCATTTCATATTGCTTTGATTGCCTGCCTACCTATGATTTTCTATTCCTCTGTGAACGTGCTGGCCTGCGACAATGGACCATGTGAGACATCCGCAGTTTTGTCTGGCTACTCATCCGTGACGCAGTACATGGTTACTCAAGTTGTGGCTTGGACACTGACCATCTTCCTGTCATTCCCAGTAACTTCCCCAATTCTTCTTCGCATGATCAACTTTGTCGTCTCTCGCGGCAATGGTCCACTGGAGCTGTTCATGGCTCTACTTTGCTGCCCTTTAGCCTACATTTGGAGCTACATCTGCGGCAGCTTGATTTGGGGCTCTATAGCTGCGCTGGTGCAGATTCTTGGCAGTGTTAGCTTCCAGAGCCACGTTTGGCGTATCCCCCAATAAAACAGCTGCCAGCTTTGTTGTAAAGGTTTTCTTCTGGCATGGCGCAGCTTGGCTGCTAGTCACACAGTGAGAGGTTTAGTTCTTGATGGATTCGGGTTATCTCGGCCTTTTGCCTTCATGGCAATCCCCCGCAAGCCAAGAATACAAAACAAATTTGCTTCGCTGTGATTCACAGAAGAAAAATATGGCACAAGCACCTCCCTGAACTATAATGGGTTGTCGAAACCACCCGGTTCTGGGCTCCGGCAAGTCTGGTCTGCCGCAGTGTCCTTATACTCTGGTCCCCAAGATTACTTACCACTCAGCGCCGCTTTCGGCGGCCGTGACATGTTGCACAACATTGCTCAGTGCGAGGTACTACTCGCTAACCCAGCTACTGATCTTCATGGTGATCTTAGCTGTTCTCGTGTTGCAGGTGATTTGGTTGTACCCCCAGATGCCGGGTGGCCGGGCACATCCATCCTGCCGATGCGTGAAGCGTCAAGCATACTATGAGGCTGCTAGCAGTTCACCACTGTGCCCTGAGTAAACTCACCGCTAGGTGTTTGGCTCATGCTTCCGCACATCATTTTTCAAGACTAAGTTCAGAATGTGAACGTTTCATCGGCTGCCAATTTGCAGTCCCTCTTGATCCCCCGTCAAGACGGTGAGGGCTTGTTTCAGTTTTGATAATTTTGATTCGCACGTCCTTCTCTTGAACCTCCTAGGCCACCAGCTCGGCGTGAAAGTCGGCAAAAAAATCGTTGCGGTTTTTCCCACTTTATCCAATTTGTATCCTCGTGTATGCCCTCGATTTGCCCATGGATCTTGTCTTATATCAAATGGAATATATATAATGGAACTGAACCGTGGCATATATCAGGGGCGAAAAATCATCCAGCAGAGGTTGGGAAATTTCCCGCAGCCTGGGGATTTTGAGCATCCCAACAGTAAATGATTAGGTGACTTATAATTCGATCCCTTCTTTCAACGCCCTAGTTCCTTAAAACAATGTCGGGGCCCAGATTGTGGCAATTATTGTGCATGATGATTTCCATAAACTCACAATCGTTGGCCTGGTCATTCAGATTTCCATGTTTTTTTTTCGTCATTTCCCAATGCCAATTGCCATGGCTACAATCAATATTGATGCAGTAGAAATTCCTATTATGCCGGGATTATCGGTTCTGCTACCAATAACACATATTCCCAACCAACACACGAAATTTGGGGGCAATAAGAAAGGAAAATCCTTACGGGATTGGAGATTTTATTTTTTGGGATTCTGGATACGATATATGTATATTTCTTCCCCCATTTTGGATTCTATATATCAATATATAGATATGATTCCGATGATATCCATATGTTTAATATTGTATTTGATATTTTATATTAATTAATCGAAAAAATATAAAAAAAATATGTTGATTCGAAAAAATATATAATTTAAAATTTAATTTAATTTATATCTTGCGGTATCTTATATATATTATTATATGTTGATTTCGATTTTTATTCTTATTTAATTTAATTTGATTAGAATAATAATTTTATATCGATATATTATTATAAATAATAAATATTAATAAATATTATATAAATATATATTTATATAAAATAATTTATATATATATAAATATATAATTATATCAAACATAATTATATATAATTATCTTAATATATATATATAAATATCTATATTTAAAACTAGACGACGGATGGCCCGAGAGCGTAGAGGAGCAGAGTCTTCTTCTGCTGTTAGTATGGCGACACTATATTACAAGACAATATATTAAAGATGTATTACAGGCAGACGAGAAGAGTAGTATCAAGACAATATTATATGGCATCGTATCTTTTGCATCGTATCTTTCAAAAAGTTTTTCACGCACAGAACTTTTTACAGACAGACGCTTTTGCACACAGACGCTTTACACACAGACGCTTTTACACACAGACGCTTTTACACACACACAAACACTTTTACACACAGAGACTTTTACACACAGACGCTTTTACACACAGAAGCTTTTACACACAGACGTTTTTACACACAGACGCTTTTACACACAGAGGCTTTTACACACAGACGCTTTTCCACACAGAGACTTTTACACATAGACGCTTTTACACACAGAGGGTTTTACACACAGACGCTTTTACACACAGAGGGTTTTACACACAGACGCTTTTACACACAGACCCTTTTACACACAAACACTTTTACACACAGAGACTTTTACACACAGACGCTTTTGCACACAGAAGCTTTTACACACAGACGCTTTTACACACAGACGCTTTTACACACAGACGCTTTTACACACAAACACTTTTACACGCAAACACTTTTACACACAGAGACGTTTACACCCAGAAGCTTTTACACACAGACGCTTTTACACACAAACACTTTTGCACACAGAGACTTTTACGCACAGACATACACAGACGCTTTTACACACAGACGCTTTTACACACAGAGGGTTTTACACACAGAGACTTTTACACACAAACGCTTTTACACACAAACACTTTTACACACAGAAGCTTTTACACACAGACGCTATTACACACAGACGCTTTCACACACAAAAGTTTACACACAAACAGTTTTACACACAAACACTTTTACACAGAGACGCTTTTACACACAGAAGCTTTTACGCACAGACGCTATTACACACAGACGCTTTTACACCCAGACGCTTTTACACACATCGCAATTTTACTTCAGTTTTTGGCGATCCAACCTCATTTCGTGCGAAAGGGACGTGCGAAAGGGTCGCGCGGGACAAGTTGAAATCGCAATTTTACCACAGTTTTTGCCGATCGAACCTCATTTCGTGCGAAAGGGTTCACCGGTTGCGCGGGACAAGTTGAAATCGCAATTTTACCTCAGTTTTTGCCGATCGAACCTCATTTCGTGCGAAAGGGTTCACCGGTTGCGCGGGACAAGTTGAAATCGCAATTTTACCTCAGTTTTTGACGATCGAACCTCATTTCGTGCGAAAGGGTTGCGCCGGACAAGTTGAAATCGCAATTTTACCTCAGTTTTTGGCGATCGAACCTCATTTCGTGCGAAAGCGTTGCGCGGGACAAGTTGAAATCGGAATTTTACCTCAATTTTTGACGATCGAACCTCATTTCGTGCGAAAGGGTTGCGTTTCGTGCCGTCTCGTTGGCACTGCCCCTGCTCTCGCCTTCAAGAGAGAAATAGAAAAG